CTGCGCAATGCATGAACAGGGGAGTCCTCTGAAAAATCCTTAAAATAAAATGTCTTACTTATCTTTTTTTTTTTTTTAAAGATTTATTTTGTTTGATTTATTTATTTATTTATTTATACAAGCACTGGGCACAGTCAGAAGAGCGGGAGCGTGAGAGAATTCACCAGAGCGGGGAGCAGAGCAGGCAGAAGGACTGAAGTACACTGCTGAGGGGAGCAGCGGGCGGCAGGAGAGGTCTGCGCGCCATGTGGGACCCTCCTCCTGTGGCCGGGGAGCAGCCGGGGATCGAACAGGTGCCGCAGAGGCTGCGGGCAGCTTCGCAACCCAGCGCTCAACCGCTGCGCCACCGGGGAGGCCCTAAAATGTCTTACTTATCTTGAAAGCATCTCTGCGCTTTGTTGCTGAAAAGCACTAACTGCATGTAAAATTGGTGAAATCTGATTAGGATTGTGGATTGTAAAAATGTCAACTTCCTGACTTTATTTTTTTTTGTTTTTGTTTTTTGTTTTTTGTTTTTTAATAATAAATTTTATTTTTATATTCCCCATAAAACTGCAACACCCCATTCTGACTCCAATCCCTCCCCTCCCGCCCCCCACCCCCCAAAGAGTGTCTCTGGTTCATAGTTTTTTGTTGATTCTGATTTTCACTTTCTTACAGTTATTCATTTTCCTGGTCCCTTATTTAAGTTTTCTAGATTCCTGCTATAAGTGAGACCATCTGGTATTTTTCTTTTTCTTTCTAGCTTATTTCTCTGAGCATGATCCCTTCCAGCGGCATCCATGTTGCTGCAAATTGCATGTGTTTATCTTTTTTGAATGCTGAGTAATATTCCATGGTATATATGTACCACATCTTCTTGATCCAGTCATCTATTTTTGGGCATTTGGGCTGTTTCCAAAGCTTAGCTATTGTAAACAGTGCTGCTATAAACATAGGGGTACAGGTGTTCTTTGGAATTGATGTTTCCGTGTCCTTTGGGTAAATACCTAGGAGTGGAATTGCTGGATCAAAAATATGGAATGCTTCACGAATTTGCGTGTCATCCTTGTGCAGGGGCCATGCTAATCTTCTCTGTATCATTCCAATTTTAGTATATGTGCTGCCAAAGTGAGCACAACTTCCTGACTTTAATACTGCACTATAGTTATGCAAGATGTTACCACTGGCAGAAACGGGTGAAGGGTAAAGAGGTCCCCTCTGTATTGTTGTTTTGATTTGTTTGTTTTTGCAATTTCTATAAATCTGTATTTCAAAATAAGAAATTTTATTCATTTCTGATGCAATATTGGTTTACAATACTGTATATGATTTAGAAGAATAACTTAATACCTCTTCAGAAACTGAAAAGCTTTTTTTAAAAATAATAAGTGTTAACAAAAACATTTGTCTAACCTATCTATAAGATTCCTGCGGCTAACATAACAAAGTATCACAAAGTAGGATGCTTAAACACAATAAAATTATTGTCTGAAAGCTCTGGAGCTATTAAGTCCAAAATCAAAGTGTCCACAAAGTCATGTTCCCTATGAAAACTGCAGGAGAATTCTTCCTTGCCTCTCTTTCTAGCTACTGTGGTTCGTTAGTATCTTTGATGTTCCTTGGCCTGTTGATGCATCACTCCAGTCCTCAGCTGTCTCATAGCACTCTTCCCATATCAGGCTTCATATGGCCAGCTCTATATTTTGGGATTAAGGGCCCACCCTACTCTATTATGACCTCACCTTCAAACAAATTACATCATCTGCAACAACCTTATCCCACAATAAAGTCACATCTTGAGGTACAAGGGTAAGACTTCAATATATTATATCTTTTGGTGGTGGTAGGAAGGACAAAATTCAATTTAAAACACTACCCCATTAAAGACATAATTCTAAAGGCTGCTATTTTTCACAATGGAAATCTTGTTCATTCAAAAAAAAAATCATTTATCTCCTATATGTATCACGCACTATGTTAGGTGCTGTGAACACAAAAATTACCAGTAATTGAAGAGTCTGGCTCCACTGTCTTATCTATCTTCTGTAAGTGTCAAAAACTAAGGCTCCGGACATACTCCTTTTTGGAAAATTCTCGAGGTCAGTGTTTTCCAATTATACTACAACTGCTCTTGGGTGTTCAACAAATGCCAGTCTGCTGTACTTATCCACAGAATATTTTTTATATGGTGCTTTCTTTCTCATTTGCTAATTTTTTAGAGAGAATCTATATTATATTTTACATCATTGTTCATTTTTAAACAATATTTGCTCCCCCCACCCCCTCAGGTGTAGTCCCATAGAGTTTCCTTCCCCAATGCACCCGTGCACCATCACCGCAGTCCCCTGTGCTCCTCCCTCCCTCCCTCTGATCCCTGTCCCGCCTCCTTCCCTGCAGGATGTCTCTGACTTATAATTGTTCATTTTTGCTTTGTTGTGTTTTGTACTGTTATTATTTTTTTACACTGATATCCTATTGGGTTCCCCTATATTCCTGCTATAAGTGAAACCATCTGATATTTTTCTTTTTCCTTTTGGCTTATTTCACTGAGCATAATTCCTTCTAGTTCCATCCACGTTGCTGCGAATTATCTTTCTTGATTGCTGAATAGTATTCCATTGTGCATATATACCACATCTTCTTGATCTAGTCATGTATCTCTGGGCATTTGGGTTGTTTCCAGGTTTTACCTATTGTAAATAGTGCTGTAATAAACCTAGGTGTATCATTTGTTAATTTATTGTCCAGTCCCTGCTCCCCCAACTGGAAAGCAGACTCTTTGACGGTAAGGTCCTTATCATCATTGGTTGCTCCAATATATCTGATATATTTCCTCCAACAAACCAGAAAAACTCTCAATTTAGCAGACACTCAATTATTTGTTATAAGAATCAATATGCTGCAAAGACATTCCCTGAATACCTGTATGTCAGACTAGCTCTATACCACCCCTCTTCATCCCCATCACAACCTACTAGGTAAAAGCTGGAGTTCTAATTCACACTTGAAATTGAGGCGTTGAGAAATTTTGATATCGCCATCCTAACACACAGCATAGAAGGAAGGAGTGAAATGAGGCATGTAATGACTTCAAACCACCTGGGCCAAGCCCAGTTCTGTGGCTGTGGTCACTCTTAAGTGCCTGAATCCAACTGAAAATGATTGGGTCCCTATATTTAGAAAACCATCTTATTTAACATAGCAGAAATACATTTCTTTTAGTTTCTAGAGATAAAAATCCAAACTAGATAGAATTTCTGAAACCTAAAATAGAAATACTTGGAGAGAACTGTGGATTTAAAAATAAAATACATTTGTGCTTTTTTTCTAATCATAAAATCAGAAATTTGAATAAAACCTCTTGTGGCCAATAACAACAAACCACCACCGTTCAAACATTCCAAATATGTGGGGTGTTTGATTGAGATCAAAGACAAATTTCATTTAAAATGCATGTAACTGATCCAAAAAATGACAACTTAAAACCTAAGCATTAAACTAAGAATAACTCAAACCATTTGTAAAGACAGGTATTTTCAATATAATTCAAGCTTCTAATTTTCATAGAAGATATTTTATGTTATTCTCATATAAACATTATTTCTCTTACTAAATTCAAAGATTCTTCCTAGAAAGACTTCAAAAACCAAATTTCTTTCATTTTATTCCTTAAGCAGTACCTTCCTCTCCACAATATTTTAGAATTCATATATATGTGTATGTATATATGTTCATAGGTTTCCTAGCTGACCAAGTTTAAGAGTAATAAAAATGTCATGTCACCTGTCTAGTCATGATTGATATGGAACAGACACAACTTGTTAAGAGGGAATAAATGAACATTTAAGCCCAATTGCTCTGTGAACTCTATATATTCATATATTATATATGTAACGTATAATATATATTTTTAAATATTCTACATTTCAAAAGAAAATAGTAATATTCTGAAAGTTTGAAGGATAAAACAGGAAATTATAATAACCTCTTCTTTTCTTCTCTCCTAGATGGATTTTTTCTAATAATAAACACTCTGTAACCAACTTATTCCTGTCAAAAGTTTGATGAGATACTTATTCATGCCAGCTGAAAACCCAGATATTTTGGTACTCCTACCTTTATTTTTTTCTGCCTTTAACAGCTGAAAATATGAATAGTCAAAGAGAAGGTTCTGAATGTATTATAAACAGCTTGATTACCCCTAAGATAACATAGCTGTTGTTTGTTACACTGCAGTTATTAGCTGTTTAAACCTCATTATTTTATAAAATTACATTTTTAAACTGATTCCTGTCACCAGCCCTCATTCTTCAGGGTTGCTAAATTTTGGAAATTATTCATCATTTGCATTCAGTTATAAATTACTTATTTCCAAAGATATAACTCCACCTTATTATAGGTCTGTCAAGTGCCTTAAGCCACCATTTATATGGTAGTGTGGGGTATTTTTCACATGCAAAATTTTGCATTTAAAGTTAAACACAATCTAGAGAATCATCCATAGTCACTTTATGGATATTATTGAGGAAAATACAGAGAGAGACTTGCCCATCATATAGGATGCTGGGGAAAACACATTATATTAAGAAAAAAGTTAGCAGCTCTTGAGTATTTGACAAATATATCCAAGACCTGTGTGTAAGAGAACACCAAAAATGTAAAAACTGTGGGACATCTGAAAGCCTCCCTAAACTGTAGTCAATTAACAAAAAATATGTGCCGAGATCAGAATGTGACTCTAAACAAAAGCAACATGTGGAAGAAATAAACCGAGAAAGGGATAGATGACATTTGAGGGCACCAAATCAAAACAGACCAAAAAAAAAAAATATAAAAGCCTCCTGACAGAAGGAAAATAGAACTAGAGATATAAAAAAGATATCACTAGAAATAGTTTTCTTGAGCAAAAAAATCCGCAAGCTTAATTTCTATGATAAATCCAGATAAGAAAACCTGTTTATGCCCACTGTTTTACATTTCAAAAACAAATCTAGTTTTTAAGATGATTTATTACTTACCAAACCTGCTATGGGTGTGGACAATCTATTGATCTTCTTAATGACACCAGGTTTGAGCTTATTAATTAAACTGAAAATAAAGAAATAACATATGTAATTATAAGAATGCCAATATCAATTCTGTGTTTTTTTTTAACATTCTCAACAGTCATGCATGTCACTCACAATTCCACCCCCAATGTGCTATTCAGACCAAGAGCCCAACAGAAAGCACCCAAGAAAACAAGTCAAGAAACAGTAAGAACCGTGCTACAAACAATGGTGAGTGGTTCTCTGAGACCAGACACATTCTATATCCCAATGTATGTCCTTAAAAATAGTTACTTCCACATTTATTAATGAAAGGTAATATTTATGGGCCTCCCGGGTGGTTCAAGGGGTTAAGCACAGCTCTGTGAAGCTATCCTCAGCTTCTGCAGCACGAATTCAATACCAGGCCAGCCAGAGAGCTACCCACATGGCACAGCAGACCTTTCCTGTCTCACCAGCTGCTCCCCTCAGCAGTGTATTTCAGTCAGTCTACCTGTTCTGCTCCCCACTCTGTGTCTGGTGAATTCTTTTACCCCCCACACCTCTGACCTGTACCCCAGTTCTTATATGCATAAATAAATAAATCTTTAAAAAAATGAAAGGTAATATTTAATTGTCTCAAATAGCCAGCTTCAGAATTTCTTCATTTGGCCCTAAGAACTCTTTCTCTCTATTAATAATTTTCATTATTTTCTCAAAATGATGGATGCTTACTTTAATAGGTAGCTCCAAAACTGTATTATTTAGTTCTAATCTGCAGCTGCCTAAATGTCAAAAGGAGGAAGGGCCAAGGGGAGGAAGGTGGCCCATGCACCTGCTGCTATGAACAAGCAAGAGCCCAAGAAGGTGGTAATTCCCCTATTGAGAAAAGGCCCCAGAATTTTGGCTTTGGACAACACATCCAGCCCAGAAGGGAGGTCACCCACTGGTCAAATGACCCTACTACACCAGCTACAGAGGCAAGGGGTAATTTCCTATTGGTGGCTGAAAGTGCCTTCTGCCATTAACGAGCAACTCAGACCTGGGAACACAAAACAGCTGCTGGGCTGCTTAAGCTGGCCCACAAGTCCAGACCAGAGACCAAGCAAGAGAAGAAGCAGAGATTGCTGTTGGCACCAAACTGAAAACAAAGCTACTGACAAAGGGGATTTCCCTACTACAAGGCCTCCTGTCCTTCGAGCAGGGGTTAATATTGTTGATCCCCTGGTGGAAAACAACAAGGCTCAGCTGGTAGTGACTGCACATGGCATGGACCCCATCGAATTGGTCATCTTCCTGCCTGGCCTGTGAGAGAGGGTTCCCTACTGCATGATCAAGAGGACGGTGAGGCCAGGGCGGTTGGTCCATAGGAAAATGTGTACAACCATAGAGACCAATTGCACTGACAGATATGATGAAAATCCAATGTCACTACAAAGGCAACGTCCTGGTCCAAAACCTGTGGCTTGGGCCTCCCCTGGTGGTGCAGGTGGTTGAGCGCAGAGTTGTGAGGCTGTCAGCAGCCTCTGCAGTGCTGGTTTGATCCCAGCCAGATGGCGAGGGTCTCACATGGCGCAGCAGACCTCTCCTGTCTCGCCTGCTGCTCCCCTCAGCAGTGTATTCCATCAGTCTGCCTGTTCTGTTCCCCACTCTGTCTCTGGTGAGTCCTCTCATCCTCCCGCACACCTGGCCTGTACCCCGGTTCTTGTATGGACAAATAAATAAATCTTTAAAAAAAAACAAACCTGTGTTTGTGGGCCAAACTGGGAAAGGTGAGGGCAAAAGAACTCACCACCAAACTAGGCAATGAGTGCACTATTGTGTGTCTTCTATACATATAAATAATAACAATTCTCTTTAAAAATGCTTTCAAAAATGTTTAAAATGATAAAAAAAAAACATTGTTTTGCCAGATTTAAAGAGAGCGATGGAACTCACTAAAATAGTCAACTAGTTCTTATTAATATCTCAAGTCCATGATTGCTTTATTATCATAGCAGAATGGCTGGGTGACAACTGTTCCATAACTCCCTAAAATAGGCTCAAAAGTACCTCAGAATCTAATATTGAACAAGTTTAAGTTGCTATGAAAGAATCTGAAAGGACTCATAAGTTCATACTCTAGTGTAAGAGGAGCAACTTCAGTCAGTGGGGAGTGCTCATAGCCAACTCCACAGTAGAAATTGGGACTTTCCAGACTCCATTTCCTGAGCAGTTGCTGATGAGAAATAAAGGTAGAACTTTGGGATAGTTAAGCTGTTGGGGCTTTAGGCAGTTAGATAACTGGTGAGGAGGGTATTTGTGGAGAAGCCACCAGCTTGCCACATGCAGCTTAGGCTTGGACCTTGGCCTCTGCTCAACAGACACTATCTGGGATAGGACAGATGGCATCTGGCCACGTGCCAGCCTATAAATACTCTCTCTCCTTTTTTCTCCTCTCCTCTTCCTTTTCTCACTCGGTGTGTAAATGAATCCTGTTTTTGTCAATTTTCCCCACATGTGTATGTACTTTTGAGCCCTTGCCTGCTTTCTTCAACACATAAGTGTAGACCCACTAACTGGGTCCCAAGTTATCAACCCAGTTCCCCAAGGTTTACTCCATTTCATTAGAACACTAAAAAGGAACACAGCTTTGACAACTGTAACTTAGTAAATACTCTTTTGGTTCTAAGTCTAGATTATTGTGAATTCTGTTTCATTGTTATTCACTAGTACAATGTCAGGCCATGGAGAAATTTAATACTATACAATGCTTATCTATTAATGCTTTTGGCTAATAACTCATTAACCAGTACCAGAAAACAATAACTTGAAACAGTGATTGTTCTATCCAATAATCCATCCATAAAAGAACAATTCTTTATCCTGTAACAGAGTCCTAAAAGAAAGCAAATAAAGGAGAAAGAACCAAACATTCTTAATTTACTGGTCTCTTCTTCACAACCGCAGACAGAAAAAAATATCTGACACTGTGGAATGTCATTTCTTTAAACACTCCACAGATTTATATATACACCTGAGTGTGCTGAAAATAAAAAAAGACAAAAGTCTCGATTTAATAACCTTCAGAATGTTGTTCAACAGGATTCAAATCACAAAACAGTGGCTTATGAAGATTTACTCTGGTGAACAAAAGATGTTTTTCTGTTTTCATAGCTTCTTCACAATAAGATCTTCGGATAATTTAATACAGATAATAAAAACATCTCCTTGACTTTAAGCATTTCCTAGGCCTATTTGCTCCGTGGTTGCTAATATCTGATTTGTCCACTAAAAGTCATGTAGAAAGGCGAATCTCTCCCTGCATTGTTGCATTATTTTTCATTAATCACTAGCTGAGAAGCTAAAAAAGAATTGAGCAGGTTTATAAGAAATGACCATTCCAAATTAGTTCTTCTAGTTGTTCCCTATTAACCAGGTCTAATCCTGGTGGTATTCTTGCAGTACATAGAAGAACTAGTAACTAAAACATTACTTGAGAGAACCATAATTCCTCATAGTAGAAATAAAGAAATGAGTAGTAGTTGACCACTAGCTTGGCTGTGATTTTACTATAGTAACTGGGATCTTGAAATATGATTTTTATGTGCTGTTAAGCATAAAATATGCATCATATTTCAAAGGCTTGGTCTTATGAAAGTAAAAATCTTATTTTCAATTGAATGCTAAAATATTTTGAATATTAACAAAATATATTATTGAATAGTTAAAAAATGCAATTTTTCAGTGATATAAAAAATCGGAGATTAGTATGAGCTGGAGTAACCTATGAAATGTGAGGAAAGTCTGGCATTGTTTCTTTATTAGAAAAAGAGTGTCATAAATTCCTCCTCCACCCATTTGAGTCATTAATGACTTTGGCGAGATCATTCAGCTACCTGTTTACTTCACTTGCTGTTTCTGTATTACAGTGTTAATATCAAGAGTATTTTTAATGCAGTTTTGGAATAATAATCACAGAGCTTACTCACAATTAAGTTAGTCAAAGGAAGTAAAAGATGAAAGGAAAATAGAACAAAAAATGCAATATCCCAGTAATGAGCTAACCGACCCCTCCTCACCAGGGCTATTACTTGGAAGCAACATACACACAGTGGATTTGCATTCCTTCATGCCTGAGCATCGTGGCTCTCAGACAAACATGGAAACAGCACAAGGAAAAAAAACAACATTCCAGATAACACACAACCTACCCTCTCAAAAGCTGCACCACTAGAGGAAAATGCTGTTTTATTTTGTCAACTGTCAAAAAGGTCAACTTCTTCAGAAATATGGACAAAATGCGCATAAAGTTCTGGCAAATACTGAACATTCAATCAAATTATGAATCATAAATTATTTTCATACACAATGAAAGGAGTAATTCAGTATTTGCCTATCTTAAAAATATCAGTTTTATACTTTCATTTCATTTTATAAAAATCTGAACTGTGAAGTCTGAGTACATCTAAAGGAACAGGAACATCATTGTATTTTAAAATACAAGTGCCACAGAGGAGAGACAATACTCTCTTTAACAAACAGAACTCATACATCAAAGTGTTCTTCAGTTGCACACACGCAAATCCTAAAAAGAACACTGACTTTACCTCACTGGCTTCATCAAGAATCAAGCAGCACAATAACCTTCTAGATAACTCTGTGCACAAAGATCTAGCGGTTCAAGGGACCTCTTTATCTGCCTGCATCTGTTCATCCTCCTTATCCTATGTGGAATCATATTTCTGCCTTCCCCAAACAGTCTCTTAGGTCAAAGCATAAACCTGGGTACATGCTTTGCAAACACATCAGAGGTTTGCTCTTTTGGTAAGATTAAAAGCAGAGCAGAAAACAACTAGTCTCTTGCTGGTGGCACAAGGGTTAAACACAACCAATGAAGCAATCTGCAGTCACTACAGCACGTGTTCGATTCCCGACCAGCCAGGAGCAACACCCATGGCGCTGCAGATCTCTCCTGACTCGCCTGCTGCTCCCCTCAAGAGTGTACTTTGGTCAATCTGCCTGTTCTGTTCCCCACTCTGTCTCTGGTGAATCCTCTTACCACCACCCCCACCCTGCCCC